GGAAGGAAGGAAGGAAGGAAGGAAGGAAGGAAGGAAGGAAGGAAGGGAGGGAGGGAGGGAGGAAGGAAGGAAGGAAGAAAAGAAAAGAAAAGAAAAGAAAAGAAAATTTCTGCCTTTATGAAGCTTATATTTCCCTAGATGTTGAAATTAAAACAATAAACACCTCAGACATGACCCCTGCCTACAGAGAGTTTAAATTCTGGTGGGAAAGATGGCAGTAAGTCGGGATAACAATTTTATAAAAGTAATTGGATTGTAATGTAATGTAATATACAGGGTGATGGGATACATGGTCATTCTGAGGCCCACTTTAGGCTGAGTGGTCAGGGAAGCTCTCCTGAAGAAATGAGATTACCAGGAAAGATAATAAGCCAGGTATTTAAGAGCCAGGGGAAGGGAGGAAGAATTTTTCAGACAGATTGATAGCCCAAGGCAAGGAAGAGCTTGCTGCTGGAGGAGAGAGAGAGAGAGAGAGAGAGAGAGAGAGAGAGAGAGAGAGAGAGAACTGCTATGACCAGAGTTTACTGTGAGCTGCCCTGAAGTCCCAGGAGGGTGTGAGGTCACCCATGGTTTGAAGTTTATGCTAAATGCAAATGGAAGAGTTTTAAAAAATGCAGTGGCAACACTAATTTGTATTTGCAAAATGTCATTCTGACAACTGGAGAATGGATGGCAGAAGGACAAAGAGGTTGCAGGGAGATCAGTTTGTAAAAATGGTGAGGATTTGGACCAGTGGTGGCTCAGGAGATGGGGAGTAGGTAATGGCTTTGGGATACATTTTGGAGGTTGATTTGAGAGGATTTATTTAAGAATGGAATGGGGATGAGCAGAGTAAAAGGGAGAAACTAGGTCTCAATTGATGGAAGTGCCAAATATTGAGACAGAAAAAAGATTGGGATAGAGATTAGGTTGGCTGGGAAAAGAAAGGGTGTTACAAACAACCATGAGTTCACTTCTTGTCATGTTACATCTGTGACATCTATTGGACATCCATATGAAAGTATAATAAAGCCCATGGGATATATGAATCTGAAAGTGAAGGACAATAGGCTGAAGGCATAATATTGATGCCACCAGTAAATGTAAAGTGTTTAAAGCCATAGGCCAGGATGAGATCACCTGAGTGGATAATTAGTCAATACATCTATCCTCCCCCAAGGAAAGACATGCTTAGAGGGAGGAAGGAAGAGAGAGAGAGAGAGAGAGAGAGAGAGAGAGAGAGAGAGAGAGAGAGTGAGTTGCGAGAGAAATATCAATTGGTTGCCCACTATGCATGTCTGAACAGGGATCAAACCTGCAACCCAGGTGTATGCCCTGACCGGGAAAGGAACCAGCAACCTTTCGGTGCACAGCATGACACTCAACCAACTGAGCCACTCCTGCCCAGCAACACCTTTGTTTTAAAAAAAGTGGACTCACAATTTAAAAAAATATATACAAGGCATACTGCTTAGTCATTGTGGGCAAACAGATGTAACAATCAAAGCCTTTATCCTCAAGATACTTACATTCTGGCAGTGAGAAAAACACATGAAAGTCAAAGTACTTGTCCAAAGAAAAGGGGGTAGGGAACACTTTCATACTCCAGAGAGGAATTACTGTGGGCATTGGGAATGAGTCACTCTGTCATGGGGTAGAAGGTAGCCTAAGACCATACATGGGGGACTGACCAAGATCCAGGGGGATTGTAAAACCTTAAAAAATGGATGGTGTATATATATATATATATATATATATATATATATATATATATATATTTCTTTTTCTAAGATAGAAAATTGTCAAATTGAAATTGTTAAATTCTCGAAGGGTTTGTGAATCAAAAAAGATTAGAGGCATTGCCATAGGAGATCAATTTAATCGTGGTCTTAATTATGGAAGCTCAAAGATATTTCTGGAAGTGGGGCGAGTGCAAGACATAAGCAGAGAAACATTATGAGAAAGAAAAATGCAAGGCATGCTTGGAAATGGTTTTAGACTTGTGTGATTGGGATGGGGATTAATATAGGACAGTGAAGAAACTGAAGCTGGAAAACAGGAGGGGACTGAGATGGGGACAAACTTAAATGCGAACTAAGGAAATGGACTTTCTTTTATAGACCATGAGGAGTCATTGGATTTGATTCAATTAAAAAAACAGTGAGCATCTGATACATATAAAGCAATGTGGAGTATCCTGGTTGCAGGGGTGGGGAAAGAGTTGAAATTTCTGCATAGAATAACAATAATTAACACGTATCCCTTGCGTGATATGGGCTTGTCTTTTTGCTAAGTGCTTTACATGGATTAGCTAATTTAATCCTCACAACCCTATCAAGGTGAACCCTATTGGAATAAAGGGAAGTTAAATTCCTTGTCCTCGGTTATATGGGTAGGAAAAGTGGAGTCATTATTCAAACTCTTGCAGTGCAACTGGAACACTTGGTTGAAGGCCCCGGAATATTCTGATGTACTGCTACAGCCAGAGATGGCCGAGACATCATGCTTCTCATCAAAGCCAGGGCTATGGACACCTCTGGAGTGTACCAAGGAGTATGTGAAGTGACAAAACAAATGCTGCATATTTTAATAGAGTATCAACTTTATTTTAAGATTTTTAGAAAAATGCGTATGAAAATGGATATGGGTATTCATGGTTCTAAAAATCATATTAATTTTTAATGAACATATTTTACAACAAACATTCAGAAGAGTGAACAATGACAAGTGTGATATACTTTTACACAGTGAACGATCCATGTAACCACTACCAAGATGAATACATAGAACCTTCCGGCCCTGCAGAAACGCCCTTGCCCCTGCTCTGACACCATCACCAGAGTAATCACTCCCCTGACATCCAACACTAGTGATTACTTTGTCCTGTTTTAGAGTTTTATATAAATAGAATACTTTAGCATGTTTTGTTTGAAGCTTTCTTCTTTTTCTAAAAAGAGTCATCTCTATTATTGCATGTGGCAGTAGTATGTTTACTTAATTCACATTCGTTTTTAAGGTAAAACACAATGCCACAACAAATTATTTGCTGTTTTAGAGAACACACCCACATTTTTTGAGAAAGCAATTCAATCTCCCTTACCTTTGGTCACTTTGATGACAAAGCTTGAGCAACACAGGAACAAGCACTGAATTGGGGGTCAGGAGAAATGAATTCTAGTTCTCCCTCACTACTCATAGCTGTGTGACCTTCAGTAAGTCACTGACATTCTTGAACTTGATTTCCTACATTAATAAAAGAAGGAAGCAAAGTTCACTTTGGTCTACCCCAGTATGAGTTGCCTTTTCTTCAATTCTAAGTTGAATGGGTTTAGCTTAAGGAAAGACTATAGAAGAAATAAAATTTTCCAAAATAAAATTATTTTTCCTATTATAAAAGAAAAACATGTGTACTGTAACAGTTCAAGCACCACCAAATGGCATAAAGGAAATCCTATATAATAAAAGGCTAATATGCAAATTGTCCCCTTGGGAGTTAAACCACTCGCTATGATGTGCACTGACCACCAAGAGGGGCATGGAACGAAGGAAGGCCCCAGCTGCTGGCACCCGGGAGCTGGGGGAAGGAAGGCCCTGATCGCTGGCCAGGCCTAGGGACTCTACCCATGCATGAATTTTGTGTACCTGGCCTCTAGTTTAATAATAATTGTTCAATCTTACTTTCCCACATATACAAAAGCAATGTTAGTTTGGTGTTAATACGTCTATGTATTTTCCGTTGATACAACTATATGTTCACTTAATAAGCTATATTATTGTTGTTTCTGAAATGCAATCATACTAATATATCTTATTCTGTAATTTTCTTTTCAGGGGAATTATTTCAAGATTGGAATATATGTTTCTGTTCATTTAACGTCTGCAGAATTAATATCTGCCTGAAGTGACATAGCATCCATTCACTGTAATCAATCAGCCATTCCTCTTGAATAATATTTAGATGTTTTCTAATTTTTTCTATCACGACATGCTGCAAATGAACATCCCTGTACACATTTTATAAACCCTAATGTTCTTCTTCTGTATGCTAGATAGAAACTGTCAGATTAGTTTTTAAAAAGTTGCTTATTTTTCATTTTAGTACTTGAGTTTTGAGCAGATTTGAATGTGAAATCTGAAGCAAGAAAAGAACCAAGATCTTAAACAATTTTCATCATGATTCTAAATATTCATAGGAAATGGAAATCTGAAACAAAATACTGAGTATAACTTAAAGGCTCATGTTTGAAATGGCTGAAGACTGAAATCAGAAATGTGGAAAGATGAAATATTTTCCTAAGTAATAAAATGAATCATGATTTTACAATGCAATGTCAAGAATTGAAAGGCAAAGAAAAAACTTTTTAAATCACAGAAATAAGTCATTCATGTTATTCTGTAGATAGGCAGCGGAGTTGACTCATTATTGAAATTGTGTTTCAATACCCATTTGGAAAACTTACAGTTAAAGCCTTTTGTGGCATCTTCCCTGACCTGCTGTCCTGGACCAAGGAGGTACACCCCTCTCAGACCCAGCCTCCTGCAAGCTAGGGTAACACAGTTCGCGTGCATGTGAGGAACAAACATTCACAGTTAGGCGCTTCGAATGGGCAGAATGACATAGAGGAAGATGTATTTGTTCTGCCAATGTTTCACTTTGAGGCTGGTCTGGAAGAGGTAATTTTCCTTTATCCAGTAAGATCTGAAACACCAAAACCTCTACCGCTCTCTCAAGAGAGAACCAGATAAAAACTATCATCAAGAGAAAGAAGAAGAGGAATGGGGCTGGGGAAACGGAGGGCAACATGCCTAGGAGACCACTGAGAGAAGGAACGAGGGAGACCAGATGGAGGAACCCCTCACACACATCCTGGCTCCAGGGGAAGAGTAAAGAACCTTCTATGCACACCTCTGCCCTCTGTATGCAGGCTTGAGCGTCAACGTTTTATTTCTGGTGGTGAACTGTTCCTTCCTGCCCTTCCAAGTTTTAAGGGCATAGCTAAGGGGTTGCGTCTGCAATGCGCATGGAGCGATTCTACAATAACGTGCTCTTCTTTGCACAAGAAGATAACGCTACTTATTCATCTTCGTGGTGCATGCTGTTTTCTATTCACAGGGGGTGGTTTTACACTAATCCTGTTACTTCATTTCCTTGGATTCCATGGCGACCAGCTGGTCCCCTGTTCAGGCAGCTGCTTGAGAGTGTGGAATAGCTAATTGGCCAGCAGTGCGCAGGAGCCCGTGACCTCCACCTCATGGATTGAGTGCTCAATCATCAGCTGAGTGTGGGCTTCAGTCACTCAGAGCTGGACAGTCAGGGCTCCAGCAACGGTTAATTGTGAAAAGTCATGCAGTGTCCATGTTTTCACTTAACCTCCATTTGTTATCCATAAAATGGGAATAACAATTGCTCTCTCAAGTGTCTTGGGGAGGGTTAAATGAGCTAAAATATTTAAAACATGTACCTCAATAAGGAAACACTCATTCTTTGGCACCTCCTGGTAAAAATCAAATTCCACGGTGTCTTTCTTTTGGAAGTAATTCTTAGGTGTGTCTGCTTAAGAAGTAGCTGGCTACACTGAGCAGTAAGCAGTGGCCAACAGAAAAGCCTTCTTCACATCAGTTTGCGAAAATAGGTGTGGGGGGGTTTATGGAAAGCCTTACACAAAATTTAAAGCCATCTGGGGTGCAATCAAATATCTCCGATTGCACCTCAGAGAATCCTGAGAATGTCTGTGTTTGGTACAATTTTTTGTCCGACTCCTTGCTTGAGTCAGAGTTTAAACCTATCTCTTCATTTCTAGTCTACTTCTCTACCTCTGATAAGCTGTTCTTCCTTTTGAATTTATCTATTAGATTGTACTACTGTCAGAGACCTAAAATATAATCATACCCTTTTACCAGTTGATGGATAGCTGGTCTTCATTCATTTTTTGTTTGTTTTGTCTTGTTAATCCTCACTTGAGGATATATTTCCATTTACTTGTAGAGATTTGAAGGGAAGGAGAAGAGAGATGCTGAGAGAGGGAGACAGAGAAACGGAGAGAGAGAGAGAGAGAGAGAGAGAGAGAGAGAGAGAGAGAGAGAGAGAGAGAGAGAGATGTGAGAGAGACACTTGGATTGGTTACCTCCCGCACCCACCCTGACAGGGACTGGGGATCAAACCAGCACCCAGATGCATGCCATGGACTGGGAATCAAACCTTCAACCCTTCAGTGCATGGTCTGATGCTCTAACCACTGAGAAACCAACCAGGACTGGCCTTCATTCTTAATTTCTTTAATCATATTAAAGTTTTCATACTATAATTCCATCTCACAAGACTTTCGGAGAACACAAAAAAACTTTCTCTGCACAGATTAAAAATAATGACACTGAGTCATTTCCTTCATTGCTCTTTGAATTCCCATATAAAGTTATCTACCAAATATACCTTGCCTGTCCTACCAAGTGTGCCTGCTTAACAGGGTTAATGCTTGTGACATTAGTCACTGTTACTTGCTCAAGAGCTGAGATCAGGTAGGCAATCACTGAGTTCATCTGTAAAAAAAAAGTAATGACTATAGTCGTATTAAGGAATAAAAGGCCCCCTGGCTACCAAATGACTGCAAACTATTTCAAGAGAATTGAGAGTAATTCATAGTAACAGCTACTGTCCCAAACTCTGAAAATTCCAGAGAGCAGGCAGTTTGAATATATATATATATATTTTACTTTACCCTTCAATGGGTGATTGTTTTTCCAGTTAGGAGTCTCTCTCTTTAAGAACATAGTTTAATAGAGTCTGTCCTACTCCAAATTCTGTGCTTCTTTGATTTTTTAAATAGAATTTGTGGTTTGAATTAAACCCTACTTTTTGAAAATTGACTTTATTTGAAAAAGACTTCCCTACAATTTTTTTCCTACCCTGGCATTCATTGAGATAGAAAAGAGGAAAGGAGCCACACAGGTATTTCGGAGGTAAGTAGCTCTTTTAGGACAATTTCTCTCTTTGTCTTCTGGAGGAGCTTGGCTAGGGTTATGCTCTGGAAGAAGTTAGACTCTGGAAGCAGGTTTCCAGAACTTGGGCGTTAAGCAAATATGCACTGTCTCCAGGGCATCTGACCTTCCAATGTTGTACTTTGCCAAATGCAAGGAGGGAAACTACTGAAATCTGTTCGAGTTGTCATGACAGACAGGGCCATATGGAAAGTGCTGGAAAAATTCCTCCTTAGACTATAATTGCCTTGATGGACAGAAACACTGCCTTCCATCAGCTGTGGTATGCAATGGCCCAGTGTTTTGAGGTAGTGCTCGGGGTTTATTGTTTAAGGTCTCAAAGCAAAATTAAAATGGGACATTAAAAATACTGTTTGCCTGAAGGAGCTAATTATATTTTATTTCATTTTATTTATAGTGTCAGGCTCCTTAATCCCTGAGCACATAATGTGTACATAGTTTGATGGTATATATATATATATATATATAAAAGAAAACACAACCAAGAGATAGCTATGTGATTTATTTATGGTCATGTAGATGAAGTTGCCCAGTGGGTGCACTGCTCCCTTCTAATTGAGCATCAGGCTACCATAGAGAGTAGTTGAGCATGGAAGTCAGCAAGGCCCTGTAGCATAATGGCTAAGGTTCAACCCCTGGAGCAAGGCTGCCTGGGTTTGAATCCTGCTCCATACATCTCTGTGCCTCAGCTTTCCTGTCTATGAAATCACCACAGTCATTATACCCAACTTGTCAGGTTGTTTTGAGAATTAAATAAATTAATATGCACATTTTAAAGTGCTTCAAATAGTATCTTGCATATAGTAGGTGCTATATGTCTTAGTTACAGTGATTATTTTTAAATTTTCATTATCATTGAGAATCCAAGATTTTGTGTCACTACACGTGGTTCTCTGTAATGAAAAAGCTGATCACAAATTTGGCAAATTCTCCTCTCTCTCTCTCTCTCTCTCTCTCTCTCTCTCTCTCTCTCTTTCCTTTCATTCCCTCCCTCTCTCCCTCTCTCCGTTTCTCTCTCTTGCTTTTTCTCTTTTACTCCCTTCACCTGGCACTCTGGCTTCATACCCACATCGCGATACTTGATACATCCAGTCTTCCCCTCGGTAGTGTTTTTAATGGCAATGAAGTGGGCAGATCCGAGTTGTCGTGGGGACGGTGGCAGGGCTGCGCTGTCCACATCTTGCGTGTGGAAAGGTAAATGCTTCAGTTGTTAGGGGCTCCCACTCCATACCCACCCCCACGCCCAACAGAGGAAGGGACATTTCTCTGTGCGGGGGTGGCTTTCATGTTGGAAGGGAATGGTTGATGGACTTATTTTTGTTCCCCACAAATGGGGATGTTTAAAATAGTGCTTTATTCAATCGGCATAAGTGACACATAGACTATGTATAGTGGTGGAACGGGCCTGCCAGGTGATGAGGGCCAGACCTCACCAAAACTAAGAGTCGTGGTTCTCCACTGATAACACCCAAGGGATCTTTCCTGAAAATGGCCCGCAAAGAACCCCCATCGTGGGCTGCTGGGCAAATTCACTGGCACAACCACTGAGTTGTTTGAAATGGATATCCCTCGGAGCCAGGGAACTGGGATTTTGGCTTCGTGTCCAGGGGGCCTGCCAGCGAGTCACATTTCCTCTCTGAAGCTCCCTCCAGGCAGCACTGTACTCACGAAGGGTAAGTGTGTCCGTTGTTCTTTCAAGCCTCTTGACTTGGTGCCCTGCAGTCTGGCAATCAGCCAGCGAAACCGAAGCAGGAGGCTGCAGCTCAGGCCATAGTTAATTGGAGGTTTATTGTCTTGTCACGGTTTTAGAAGTTCAGGGAACTTTTTTTTTTTTTTGAGGTTGAGTGGATATTGTTGGGAGTTGAAGTACTGTCAATTTTGACCTCATGCACTCCTTTTTAGTGACTATAATTAAAGCTTACTTAAAGCATTATGTTTTCATTCTTTGAAAATTGCCCTTCTGCACTTCAAGTCAGCACAGTGAGGATTCTAGAAGGGACTCTTCCCAGTTTGAAACAAACAGACTAGATTTCATGGAGTGTAACTCTTGGAAAAGGGGGATAGAATGTTTTATTCCTATGAACAGTTTTCTTATCAGAATTCATCTGATCTGAGATGAATGAGAAGAAAATGCTTAGCTTTTGAGGCAAACACGAAAATTACCGTATGTCCAAGGGAGATTTCGAAATCCTTGTGGATTGTCCTTAAATGGATTTGAGATGCAATGCAGAGTCTGGATTTTATTTAAGAACATGGGGGAAACCCATTAGTCAGACAAGACTGAAAGTGGCAGTGAGTGAGGAGTAATGTCACACTTCTCAGACACCATTATCATAGACACGTAGAACCCGCATGCCTCCTCCCCCTCAACTTTCTCTTTCCATCTTAGAGCCTCCTCTGTACCCTCAAGTGTGTTTCACTGTGACTAGGGAATAGACACTAAAAATATTTCTGGAATGACGTGACCCACTCTCGTCCCATCCAGGAAAAGGACGAGGCTTCACCAGAAACAGCACATACTTTCCTTCCCTTTCTGGGAGCCCGAGGGTCGGCCTACAGATGCTGCTCCTTCCATGGCCGATGGCGCCCGGTCTCCTGGCTGCCGACGGTGCCAAGCGAACAACTGGACAGGACAGCTCAGCTCCAGGAAGGTGGCCACAGTCTCGGCCAGAGCAGCAGCCCCCCAGCCACAGACCTCCTCTGCCCCCCCAGCCAGGAGCCTTCCCACCTCCCTCAGCCTTGCCTGGGCCCCGCCACAGGGGCTGAAGAGCTGGGAGGTGGTGGCCACAGCGGCGGTGGTGTCTACAGCCTTCGGGCCAGTCCAGGCACGCAGGACCCTGCTCCGGGCAACTCTGCGGCCCCTCCAGGGCCAGGGAGGGACCCAGGACAACCCCGGTGCTCACCACTGTCTCTTCCTGTCCCTGATACCGGGGCGAGGGCTCAGAATGGAAGCCGCTGTTCCTGAGCCGAATCCGCAGGCCAGACCGAGGGAGGTGGGGGACGGGGTGAGCGGAGCTCAAGATAGCCAGGAGCTGAAGCAGCAGCTGCAGCCGTGGCCTGAGCCACCAGCCTCCTCCCAGCAAGAAGGGAAATATGTGGAGATGTGCGCTGCTGCCGGAGCCCAGAGGGAGAGGCCCCCGGCCATGGAACTGAGTCCGGAGTGCTCAGCTGGGGACCCCAGGGCCTCTAAGAGTCCCGAAGAGGGAGCCCTAGACGAGCCCAGCAGTCCAGAGGGTAAGACTCCGACCTCCCAGAGGAACCCTGCTTCTGTGGAGCTCACCAGATCCCAGCTCTCTGGCACTGATGGCAGCAGCGACTTCTCCTCCTCCTCTGCCACCTCCTCCCCGGTGGACAAAGCAGAAGGGGGCCTTTTCAAGGATGAAGCCAGCACGTCAACAGGGGCTCTGGCCACCTCGTCCTCCTCTTTAGGCTTTGAGAGCGACAGCGGTGAGAGTGCAGGGCGCTGCCAGCCCAGGGGGGAAGCCGGGGAGGGAAAGGCAGGAGGAGGTGCAGGAGGACGAGGAGCAGCGGGGGCAGAAGCTGGGACAGAGTGCAGGGACATTATTGCCAAGTCCCAGGGAAGCAGGGGGCCCCCCAAACCCGAGGAGGCTCACTACATCACCACCCACGAGATCCAGCTGAGCGAGGTGGAGCAGGACATGGATTTCGACGTGGGGCTCGCCTCCCACTGGGATTTCGAGGACAACAACGTGATCTACTCATTCGTGGACTACGCTTCCTTCGGTGGCAGCGACGAGACCCCGGAGGACATCACCACCCCAACCGAAGAGGAGGACAACAGCTGCTACCTCAGCACCACGCCCAGCACCAGCGCCCCCCGCACGCCCAGCCCCTTCAGCAGTGACCCTCCCCGCCCGGGCGCAGGCAGCAGTGGTCGGGACACCAGCAGCACGGAAGTGGGCAGCGGCCCTGCTGACGGCGGCCCCACGCCCCCACCCACGGGGCCTGGCACTGCCCCCGGGCCCGAGCCCTTGCCGGAGCCCCCGGAGGCAGTGGCAGGGGCAGCCGCCGCCGCCAGCAGCTGTGGGAGTGCAGCAAGCCAGATCCTCCTATCAATCAAGCCGACTTCCCGGGCTATAAATGAGCCTAGCAACGTGCGTGCAAAGCAAAACAGTCCTCACGCTGCCAAGCATGAAGGCGACATGAGCCTCCGCGGCCCCACAGCTGCTGAACACCGCTCCAGTCCCCCGAAGCAGGACCGGGCTGCAGCCGTGGCTCAGGACCATGCAAAGAAATTCATCGCTGTCCCTGCTCGCCTGCAAACCCGCTGCGGGGCGGTGCGGGCCAAGGAGCTGGTGGACTATGCCAGCGGGGCCTCCAGCGCCGTGAGCGAGCTGGACGATGCGGACAAAGAGGTGGGTAACCTGACCTCCCGCGCCTTCCGGAGCCTGGCGTACCCCTACTTCGAGGCTCTGAACATCAGCTCCCGGGAGTCCTCCACGCTCTCGGAGGTCGGCTTCGGGCGTTGGTCCACCTTCCTGGACCTCAAATGCGGGGGCGTGGGAGCCCGGGTGGAGCAGAGCCTGCTGCGGAGCAGCGCGGCCTCCGTGGCCGCCGGGCTGCGCAAGGGCGGCGCGGCCAGGCCAGCTGCCGACCAGCTCTGCATCCACGCCAGGAAGTCCCAGACCAAGGCCCTGGAGTTCGTGGTCAGCAAAGTCGAGGGCGAGATCAAACATGTGGAGACGCCTCTGTGTTTCCAGAAGCAGCTGCAGACGGGCTCCCGCGTGGTCACCCTGCTGGAACCTCTGAATCTGCGCAGCGACAGCAAAGCCAGCTCCGGCCCCGGGCCCTGCAGGGCCCCCCAAGGCCCCGGTAAGGGCCCCGGCTCGGTGTACACGGACGACGGCTCGGAGGCCCCCGAGAGCAGCAGGCCTGCGCCCCGCGCCGAGGGCCCGCAGAAGAAGTCCAAGTTCGCTTCCAGTCTGCTCAAGAATGTCATCTCCAAGAAGATGCAGCGGGAGCACGAGTTCAAGATGGAGAGGGGCGAGGTCACGGACACCTCCCACCGGCACCTCTCCAGAGCGGCCAGGGAGCCAGAGGGCGCCCCCGGCGGCGAGCGGCCGCGGGACAGGGCCCTGCAGAGGCAGAGCTCCCGCCACTCGGAGGCCAGCTCGGAGTACACGGTGCTCAGCGTGTCGGATGCGGGTGGAGAGGGGCCCGTGGCGGGGTCCAAGTCCCCCATCTTCAAAGCCAGCGCCCCTCGGGAGAGCCATGCAGGCTCCGTCCGCAGCGCAGAGGAGGTGTGCGAGATCAAACAGAGCGCCTCCGAGACGGTCAAGGGCATCTTCCTCCGCAGCCAGAACAGTGCGTTCAGGTCCTGGAAGGAGCGAGAGGCCGAGAAGCGGGAGGACAAAGCCCCCGTAGGGAAGCTGAAGCTCCCCAAAGGGGGCGACTGGAGGGCTGATCTCGGGGAGGTCTCGGCCAGCAAGTCCACCATCATGTCCCGTCTCTTTGTCCCCAACATCCAGCAGACACCCAAGGAGAAGCAGCCCGGGAAACAGGCCACCAAGTACCCTGCGGCCCAGGCCACCTCCACTGCCGTGGTCGGGCCCAAGGCCCCGGAAATCAAGATCCGGTTGGGCAGCGTGCAGCAGCCAGGCTCGGACTTCAGCATCGCCAAGCTGCTCACGCCCCAGCTGGCCGGCGGCAGCTCCTCCGGCCTCCTCAAGGCAGCCGAGGACAACGCCCGGGGCCCACAGAAACTCTTCCGGGGGGACAGCCTGGAAAAGGTGCCCCAGTTCCAGGTGAGGGACGTCAGGGACAAGTCCAAGGCCCAGGGCCCCCTCCACCAGGTGAGGGACGTCAGGAAGCTCATCAAGGGGTCCGGAGACAGCAGCGACAAGGGCAGCGTGACCCCCGAGCAGGGGCTGAGCGGGCCCAAGCCCAGGCTGCTGGCTGCTGCCGCTGGCGGATCCAGGTCCCTGTCCCCCTTGGTGATCACGTGCCAGGCCGTGGTGAACCAGAGGGAGGACGGCACGGACCGGGAGCTGGGGGAGAGCCTGGGTAGAGGGGGCAGTGGCGGCCTGAACCCCTCCTCGCCAGAAGGGACGGTCTTGGTTCACCGGGCATCTGGGAGGCTGCCCGTGGCCACCATCGCCCCCAATAAGCCCGAGCAGGGCTCCTACCTGCCTGTGCTCAAGATCATCTCCAAGGCCTCTGCTCAGAAGACCCCAGAGAAGGCCAAGGACGAGGAGGCCAAGGAGGAGGGGAAAGGCCCCAAGCCATCGCGGAACGCCCTGGAGAAGCTGACGGCCGCGGTGCGGTCCATGGAGGAGCTCTACAGCTTCGACAGGCACGAGTGGAAGCGCAAAAGCGACCCGTTGCCCACGATGACCGACAGCCACGTCCTGTCGCTCATCGCTAGCGAGGAGAGGGGAGGGGCCGGCGGGGCGGAGGGGGACCCCGACAAGCCGGCCAAACGGCTGGGTGAGGTGGGAGAGCAGGGCACGGGCCACAAGGACGGAGTGGTCCTGCGAGCGGCCCCCTTGGAGCGCCTGCAGCGGAGAAACTCCAACCCGAGCTCCGAGAGCGTGTCTGCCCGCGCGGCTGCCTTCGAGAACCTGGCCAGGGAGCGGCCCCGATCCCTCTATATTCCCCCAGCCCACAAAGATGGGGAGAGAACCCAGCCCCTGCAGCCCCTCCCCCCACTCCCCAGCAACAGGAACGTGTTCACGGTGAGTGCCAGCAGCATCCAGAAAACTGGGGGTGTCGCTGGCAAGTTCCCCCAAGGGCTTTCTCCAGAGAGTCCTTCCGCAACAAAGGGCAGCAAGTCTCAGGGACTTCGGTCCCTCAAGATCTCTCCGGCCACCCGGGCACCGCTTGATGAGGCGCTCAACAGGAAACATGGCAGCACCTTGGTAAAGAGCAATAGTGACTGTGAAAATTACCTGACCATCCCCCTTAAAGGAAGCTCTGCAGCTGGGCCTGGGGCGAGGAGGGAGGTGCCCCCAGCCTCCTCTGCAGCCACTCTCTGCAGCTTGCCCCCCCTGAGTGCTCGCAGTCAGGTCCCCAGTTGCCCCAAAGGTTCCCAGGTCAGTGGAACCAGCCGGCCAGCATGGCCTACCAAACCTGACAACCCACGGCAGTCCATCGCTGCCCCCTCAGGGCCTCAGAGCCCCGGGCATCCCCCCACTGCTATCTACCACCAGCAGCCACTGCCCTTCCCCCTGCAGGGGGCCCAGCCCCAGGTCCTTTGCTTCTCCCCACCTGGCATGCCTGCCCCGGCACCTGCAGGCCCAGCTCCGGTGCCCACAGATGCCTTCCAGCAGCCACAGCCTCAGCAGACCCAGCGAAAGATGCTCCTGGATGTGACGACTGGCCAGTACTACCTGGTGGACACACCGGTACAGCCCATGACCCGGAGACTGTTTGACCCCGAGACAGGGCAGTATGTGGATGTGCCCATGACCTCCCAGCAGCAAGCAGTGGCTCCCATGTCTCTCCCTGTGCCTCCCTTGGCCCTGAGTCCTGGGGCCTATGGACCCACCTACATGATCTACCCTGGGTTTCTGCCCACAGTGTTGCCTACCAGCGCCTTGCAGCCCACACCAGTTGCTCATACTCCAGGGGGGAGTGAGCTCTCCCAGATGGCTGCAGAGAGCCCCAGCAAAGAGCCAGCTGCCAAGTTCACCGAGGCCCCATATTTCATGGCCTCTGGTCAGTCTCCCACCTCCGCTTCTTCCTCGGCCCCAGCAGCCACATCCCAGCTGGTGGGGGCCAAGGGCTTCGCCCAGCTGCACGGCAAACCTGTCATCAGCATCACTTCCCAGCCCCTGGGGCCGAGGATCATCGCGCCCCCCTCCTTCGACGGCACCACCATGAGCTTTGTGGTGGAGCACAGATGATGGGCAGTCACCAGGAAGCAGGACGGAGCCGCTGCTGGTGAGTGAGTGGACTTTGATAATCAGTTTTCAGGGGTCAAGAGCAATCCTGTTTCTCGGTGTTCGAAATGGCAGATTGACAGCAGAGGAGGCTGTCTAGAAATGGGCATTTTGGGAAAATAGAACAAAACCCCACCCAAATTATTAAGGAGCTACATTTTTTTCTGCCATGCCTCCTCTTCTCCACACTCCTCAGTCCCTGAGGCCTTTCCCCTTTCAAATTGCCTGTATGTTTTTCTCACCTGTGAGTCGGAGAAAAGTGAACCTTGGACCTGTCAGGTCAGCCTTTGGTGAAGGTTGACAGGGGAGAGAAACAAAAGCCCCGTCCAGATTTCATGGAGTGAGCCTCTATTCCTGGCAACCCCAGCGGCAGAAGGCAGAACATCCTGAGAGACCATTGGGAGCACTGTTAATGGGCTTGCTCCTCGTTTTCTTGTTAGGGGGCTTTCTGAAATCTGCAGAAAAGCTTCCCTCCTTCCTCTACATCTTCTTGAGGTTTCTTTTACAAAGAGACTATATTTTTTAAGCTCTTGTTTTTCTGTTTTCAGACAATCAGAATGTTTTTTCTTAGATGAATCTAAGGTCTTTAGGTTACACACACACGCACACACGCACACACACATATGCACACTTGACCTCTGTGACGGGGGTGGGGTGGGGTGGGGGTGGGGATTACCTAGCTGTGGCTCCCTGGAGGGGCTGCTATGTTTGATCCAGTCGCTCAGACGGAATCCACTACTCTCAGCTGCCAGTCCCTATAAGGCGCTGATTTTCATATCGGCATTCACTCCCTTCAGAAAAGAAGCAACTTCCACTTGCCCCCCTCGAAAGGAAATCAGATAGATTCCTAACACCTCCGTTAATCCAAATTCATAGACAGGAATCCTTGCTGTAAACACAGTCCAAGAAACTTGATAGGAAAAGTGAGCCTGAATCAGGACACTTCAGGTCACACACATAAGAAAGGTAGTGGCAAACTTCAGATCTGAGCACAGAGATGTCAGCACTGTGGGGACACATCGCCCCTCATTCCCCTGTTCTCTTCAAACTAGGAAGGGTTGGCATTGTCAATGTTTCTTGGACTTTCACTCCTTGGTAAGATGATACCGAACCAAGAAAGGAGACGGAGAGGGGAGAAACCCCTTCCATGCGTGCATAGAAGAGAAGTAAGCCGTGTCTCTCTTCTGAACTGAGAAAGAACAGAGGAACATTGTTTCACTGGGCAACGAAAGAGCCTTAACTTAGGAAGTAGGACCATTAGATCAGAGTCACAGCTTCCTCCCACCAGATGTGTGTTCTTGGGCTGCAAACACTCGCACTCATGATACTCATGTGCCAATAATATCTACTCCTCAAAATGTATTGCGGGGGATGGTGGAGGAGGAAGAGGGCAAAGGGGATAAATGGTGCTGGAAAAACATAATAAAATGGAATAAATGTATCTGAATATCCGGTGATATAACAGCATATTGCAAATTAAAAACCCTTTTCAAATTAAGGGGTTATTACATTTATTGAACTACAAGACAACATAAAGCCACTGTTCAAAAATCCTTGGGTCTCTCTCGAAGAATTCAGGTGAAAACGCAAGCCTCATTTTACTCACAATCTAGAAATAGATGATTCAAACTATTTCTCTTTAAGAGTTTGCCACAGGCACTGTGTGATGATCACAAATAAAGAGGGAGGAGGAGATGAAAGATAAATAGTGCATCTTTTGTCTGATGTAGAAAATAAAGGGAAATTCAGTATGCATGTGGAGGAGAGTCAGAATTAGAGAATTAGTTTTGCAGAAGGAAAAGAGTAGCCGCTAGATAAAAGTGTTTTAATCTTCTGGACAGGTGGTGCGTTTACCTACGGCTATTTTGGAGCAGCTAATCCTGCAAGGCCTTTGTGTGAGCTGAGGAGGCGCAGAGACAAGGGGAAGGGAGGACAGGGGCAGGGGAGGGACCAGGCACACACTCGCCTGCAGTCCCCTTGGCAGCTGCCTTTGGCCTTTCTCCGGTCTGCTGAGTCTGGAGAGGGTAGGCTTGGAGTTGCTTCCACCAGACACAAAGATAAACCAGAGTTTTTAGTATTTAATATTTGAACAGTGATTATTTTGAAAGTTTATTTCTTTTTGAAACACAACCTTTATGTCAGTACATCGCCCTAAAGATAGACAGAAATCAAAAGCTGGCTTCACCATCTAAGACGATTGGTGAGGAACTGATTCGCTTTTTGTGTACAAGCAAAAATCTAGTTGTTAAGACTCAGATAACTGCCTGGCTGGCGTGGCTCAGTGGTTGAGTGTTGACCTATGAACCAGAAGGTCATGGTTCGATTCCAGGTCAGGGCACATGCCCGGATTGTGGGCTCAATCCCCAGTTAGGGGCATGCAGGAGGCAGCCTGTCAAAGATTCACTCTCATCATTGATGTTTCTCTCTCTCTCTTCCTCTCTAAAATCAATAAAAATATATTTACAAACAAACTCAGATAACTAACAAAAATCCTTCAAAACTCACCTTCCTGAGCATTCTTTGCCCAAAGAAAAATCAGACACATAAAGAAGGGTGTAGCTCTTTTCCTTGTATGAAAAAAATTTTAAACACTGTTCAGCTATATCAAAAAGTTACATTGTGCACACTCATTCATCACCTGATGCTCATACGGATGGTCTTTGTGAGAAGTCTTAGAAGCAGGTGTCAGATCTAGATTTCCTTTGAAAACCAGAGATTTTCCTGGAGGTAGGGTCGGGCTCTATGTGGCCCTTTCAATGAAGTCACTTAAATGATTTGATCCAATCACAACATTTCACAGAGCAGAAAACTGGGGCTTAGAAAGAAATGGTTTTATTCTGAACTGGATCCTGAACCAGGAAACAAAAAGGCTATAGGGCACATTATTGGGATAATCGGCAACATTCGAATATAGAATTTTGAATTAGATTATGGTATTGTATCAATGTTAGATATCCTGATTTTGATAACTGTTCTGCGATCATACAAGCAAATGTCCTTGTTTATAGGAAATATACACTGATGTACTTAGGTATCTATAATAATAAAAGTGTAATATGCTAAAACAAAAACAAAAAAAGAAAGAAATGGTTTTGCTCAAGACCCCAGAGAGTGAGAGAGCCGGGGCCTGTGGAGCGCACATAGCTCCTGGCCACACTGTGCTCCCGGGTGCTCTGCGTGTTTGCTCCTTGACAGGAGGCATGGAGCAAAGGACGGATGCAGAGGAGCGCAATGAGATCCGAACTGGCAGCCAGGACGCCTGGGCCCTCCTCTCTGCCTCTCTGGACATTTGTGAAATGAACGTTTGAATGAAATGTGCTAAAACCCCCATTCATTTAACAAACATGAATTGCATGTTTACACTCCACCAGCTACCGTGTACTACGAGGTGACCCTAAGCCCCATGGGACCTGGTACGGTCCCATCAGCAGGAGCCTACACTCCAGCAGGCGGCACACACCAGGCACACAGAACTGCAAAACCAGTTTCCAGTCCTGTCTTAACCTTTAAGACTCCTGCCAGCTCAAATAATAAGGATTTCATCATCTATTTTTAGCAGTGCCTTGTAGCAGGGAGTGCTGCTTTCTCCCCTATATATATTTGAGCATAACAAGCTGCTGCTAGTTCTTTCTAATTATTTTTGTATGAATTTTTCTTTAGTTTTGCTTTTATAGGTGGTTCTCCCCCACTTCTAAGAAGATAATTAGTCATGTTTTTATTTTATTATGATTTAGTAGTGGCATTGCCAACTGTGAGAAATGCAGGGGGCTGTGTATATCCGGTAGCCCAGTGGCCAGATCAGCCGTGGGCAAACTACGGCCCGTGGGCCGGATCTGGCCCGTTTGAAATGAATAAAACTAAATAAAAAAAAAAAGACCGTACCCTTTTATGTAATGATGTTTACTTTGAATTTATATTAGTTCACACAAACACTCCATCTATGCTTTTGTTCCGGCCCTCCGGTCCAGTTTAAGAACCCATTGTGGCCCTCGAGTGAAAAAGTTTGTCCACCCCTGGGCCAGATAGTCACAACAGAAACCCATTTGTAACCTACCAGCATGCTAGGCACAGCGGTTGCAAAACTTCACTACTTTCTCATTTTTTGTTAGGACTTTTCCTGTTATAGACCCTTGTTTATAGATTTTTGTTTTGAATGTCCCGGCTCCACAGGATCTTAGGTGCCTTTTCCAATGAGATTATTTTTGTTTTTAGTTTTCTCTCTTTAGAAGCACATAGCTACATTGTTCCTTCTCTGACATATTTACTGGCATGCTTTCTCCTGCCCACCCACTTGGATGCCACGTTTTTGTTTTAAAAGTTTTATTGAGACTTGATACTAAATACCACTTATAATGGCATAAAGATAAAATAAATATGTAATATAACAAAAGAAAACTTTAATTGGCACTAAGCCTGCTATGCCATGGGTATTGCAATTATTTTGTTATATTTCAATGTCTTTTTTTCTGTAAGATTTTATCCATTTTCTTCTTCATTTTTTCCTTTATTTTTGTTGTTGACACTATTACAGATGTCCCCATTTCTCCCCTTTTGCCCCCCTTAACCCAGCCTTGGCCCCCCTTCCCTCTGGCCATCACCACACTGTTGTCTGTGCCCATGGGCTATGTACATATGTTCTTTGGCTAATCCCCTCACCTTCTTTCATCCATTCCCCCACCCCCCCTCTGACAGCTGTCAGACAGACTTTCTTCATTTCTGATGTGCCCTACGTGGCTACTACATGTTGATCTTTCTTTTCTCCTTTCTTCCTCAGAGTTATTTTTACCCTCTGGATAGAGCCCCACAGGTCAGCAACTGAAGTGGAAAGGGGAAGGTGGCTGGATTCAGGGGAGCTGTTTTTGTAGAGTGTTCTGAGGGGGTCCTAGAGAGATCCTTAGATCATCAAACCCTGTTCCTTGTGTTAAACATTGCAGGAGGAAATGGCGCCTCAGAGAGGTTAAGTGGCCCTTCTCCCATCAGTGTCCCTTTGGGGCAGAGTTGTGACCCAAACCCCAAATGACCCCATACCAGAGTCTTCTTATTCACTTTGCTTCTTTCTTATTGCCCTCGAGTCCCCTTCTCTTTTTCTCTCCAAGGCCACTCTTCTTTGGTGGTCCCGTCCCGGGCATCCATCCCACTAGTGCATTCCCTCCTTTCTGCCCTTGCTGTGTGTTTGAGAATTTACTTTTTGTTCCTTGCTATTTTTTTCCCCCAGGAGTGGGGATCTTTTATTCCTATTGTGGTTTTTCCTTTCCCATTCACTTGAAGCTGATTTAGTTTAATGTCTCACCTTGCTTCTTTCTTTCTTACATTTTTGTTTCTAGTTTGTTTTAGCCACAGCCTGGACAACTTAAAGTGTCCGGTGATGGAGCTGCCAGCTCCCTCACCAGCAGGATTTTTGCAGCTTTGTGCAGGAGGCCAGGTGGCTGCAAGGTCAACATTACATTTTCACTTCACTTCATAATTACATTCCTGGATCAATTTGTTTACTTCTATTTTTCTCTGACTTGGTTGTGACTTCCTCTCCCAATTATTATATATGGCTATTGTTTTATTTTATTATCGTCTTAATGTCTTTTCTGCACTTCCCTCCCCTCCCTTTCTCTCCAAAGGATTGCAGCTTTCCTCTTGCTTTTAATTTTGTGCCTCTCTCAACAATTTTATTGCCTTTATTATTTTCTTCTCTATCCTCTATAAAATCAATAAAAATGAAAAAACAGCTAATGTGTATTCACCATTTCATATATGCAAAGATTTAACACCATACTTTCTGATTCTTAAAACAAGTAGGCACTATTCTCATCTCTAAATGACAAGTGAAGAAATGACTTGTCCCAAACGAACATACCATTTGCAGCCCAGGCCCTCAGGCCCCCTGGCTGTTCTCTTACAGGTGGTCCTTGTCTGCCCTCTCTTACTCTCTGCCCTCCAGGTCTCAGTTCTTCATTGTGAATTGTCCCTCTTTCACCATCTGGGAAAGAGAGAAAGGAATAAGGTCAGAAATTGACCTTGAATCTGTTATTGTTTAGCATATATCAAACCTTCATGTGTATTATTCTTTTGATTTAAAACATCAGCAGTCCTTAGTTATTAGGACATTGTATGCCCCAAAGAGGAATCTGAGCCAGTGTCAGCATTTCTAAGGGCGGTGGCTCTCCGTGGTGGGGCAATTCTGTGTGTGTAGGGGGCGGTGGCGGGAGGGGCGGTGTGGGATGTCCCCTGGAGGCCAACAGGTTCATGCATTTTAGTTGGAGGGGAGCTGTATGGCTTGACTAAAGCCCAAGTATGTGCACCTTGAAGTCTGGCAGCCCTGGCCCAAATTCTAGTACTTTACTACTCTGGACAGTGACTTGCTCTCTCTGAGCTTCAGTTTTCTCAACTCTGTAATGGGGATACCTCGCAGGAATGTTGTGATGATTAACTTTATAAGACTGTTACAAAGGACATATCAGATAGTTCATGGTACGTAGTAAGAGTTCCGTCTGTTTTGGAGACTATAACCTCATAATACTTCCGAAGCCCCTCATCTCTCAGGGGCCCTCACCAGAGCAGAAAAATCAGGCCTCATCCTTGTAACTCCCAGGGCAGCATCAGGAGCCTGATCCAGGATTGTTTTTGATTTCTACAAACTGGAGGCCATGTCCATAGCTCTGCAGTCAGAGCTGGCTGATCTCTTGGGACAGGTCAGTTGGCTGTGGGTCAAGGTATTCTAGTATCTCCCAAGCTTTCCAGCATGTTATACAACTCTGGGCTGAGACTGTCAGCTGCATGGTGGTGATTTTCCTCTCTGTCTGGGCACAAGCCTGTGTGAAGCAAGGGAAACTCTGACCCAGCATCCCCTCTGAACTCTGTCATGTGCTCTGGTCCTACAGTCATGGGCGTCGCCCAGGCCAAACTGTCTTGGTGACACAGCATAGTCACTTCTCTCATCTTCGCTGAATTCTTCACAGGCCTCATAATCATCAGTTAAACTGGTGATTTTATTATTTTATCCTTAAAAAGAATTGGAGTAACTTTATTACTTTCAAGATTTCTAATAAAATTCTTCTTGGGTGGGTGAAAAGTCAGTGTCCGGTGATGGATCCCTAAAAATGCCTCAGTAAATTGTATAAACAGATTGTCCCTTCATTTCTCAACATTCTGAAGTCCCCACCCCTGCCCACTTTGATTTGCATAGAAATGATTCTTTGTGGTCTTCTATTTTCTTCTCTTCCGGTTGTAATTATATTTCCTTTTCCTGTTGCTACTTTATATGTCAACAGGTAGCAAAACTTAAATTTAGCAAATGAAAAGTCTCCAAACTCACAAAGGTCCCCTTCATCTTGAAGGTCATTCCTTAATATAAAATACAAATGAATAAAATTAAAAGAACATGAACTATTATACATATGAAATCATAATCATTCTTATAGACTTCTTTTTTTTTAAGCATATATTTAACAGGTCAGTTTCTGGATGACAGGATTAAAATGTCCTTTGCTTGCTTCTGTGATTGCATATAATTGATTAGCTAACTGTTATTTGATACTTCTTGAAGGTTACTTTTCACATGATAGTCTTCTTAATCCCTCCCAAATATTACCTGTAGGCCACTCTATTTCTGTCTTTATAATACCAATATTATGTTCAAATATCAACTCTCAAATGTTAAAAAAAAAAAAAGTTCTTTAAGCAAAGTTCTAGTAGACATACTATAGAGAAAGATCAGCACAAAGAGCTAATTTTTAGTAAGCTTTTGAACATGTCAGTTACTTATCTTATAACTAGGGGCCTGATGCATGAAATTCATGCAAGAGTAGGCCTTCCTTCCCCCCGCTACTGGCACCCGCTTCCCTCTGGCACCCAGGACCCAGGCATCCCTAGCAGCACTGGCTTCATCTGGAAGGTTGTCTGGAAGGACATCCTGTCTAATTAGCATATTACACTTTTATTATTATAGATGCATTTAACTCCATTCTAAGGTTTAGGCTCTAACCAGTATATCTTATTCTAAACAAAATGTGCTAGATGAAATTCCACATAATTTAGGTAGTAATCATTCATTCACAAAAATTCTCAGTATAGAGTTTACTCTTTTAACTAGATTACTAACTCATAGTAAATTCAATTTCTGCATAATATTTTAGGAACATATCTATTACACTGTTTTATCTCTGTTATGGATGATTTCAATGAAACTGAACATTTCATTCTAAAATTATTTTTGTATAATTCATTGGATTTAATTTTCAAAGAGAAGTTTACCTTTGGGCACTTTCCTGAAGTCAGTATACTGTCTAGTAAGTTCAGAAACATATTTGCCAAATACATTTTGAAATATGAACTTCATCATAATTAATATTGAAATCAGAAAAATAGTTATATAAAATGCATTTTGACATTTTCTTGCTTCTTTAAAAATGAATTTTACTTCTAGAATAACCATCTCTTCTTATCTATGCTTGTTTATAGGAGCAAGACAGAAAGATGGACTATTCTTCTTTAATCTGAAGGTTGCATTGTAACAGCAGTAAGAATTCATCTGAAAAACTTCCTCTACATGTGTTATTCTTAGCTTTTGCTTCTTATAAACCAAGTGTGTAAGTTTCTATATTTTCCTGAACAACGCTGTTAAGAAAGTTTGTGCTATTTTAGTTTTACTAGGCTGATTGAATGGTTGCATTATCACCCTGTAAAAATCATTTCTTTTTATACTTAATACAGGACATAAGCTTTTTATTTATCTTTTCCTCCATTTGGCTAGACAGAATAGCCCTTAAGTATTTTCATAGTTCAATCAAACCATACAGCAGAGTGGGATTTGTTCTATTGTAAACCAAACCAGTAAATCAATAACTTGGAATCCAAATCGCCTTAAAGGTTCTTGGAATACATGAGGACTAGCTGGTAGAATTGCAGCACATGCTTGGATTTTAAATATGATGGGTCCTCACTTAGAATCATGTACCAGCCAAGCCTAGTCATTCTCTTGGTTTTAATCTACACGCTCTTTTAGTGGGTTTAGCATGATTTCAGATGTGATTGTGAAAAATAGTGGTTTTAACTTTGTGCTTTGTTTTAATTTTCCAATTTGTACAATGTCATGACACTATTTGTTGTCTTAAAATAGAATGGCTTAAAATACTGAAGAGCCAGTGATTTCAAATTAAGTTCTTAGTCTCAGGAAGGTATAAAATATCTATTTCCCTTTAGTAACCCAAACTTCGTTATGAGCGTATAGCATTTTTTTGTCTTCTTCAATGATTCCCTCCATAGTTGCATACTCCTGGCTCTCACGGATTGTTTGGAGTCCGAAGAGTGACTGGTTTGGGGTGATAGAGCAGAATGTAAGCTCCTGTCCAGTGGCTCTGGATCTCTCCAGCCATACCAAGAGCAGTGACCTAGGGTTACATCACTTGTTCGTTGTGGTTGTGAGAGATGACAAGAGTCCAAATCACAGAATCTTTCATCGACATTCAGTACTGCCTCAGTTGTAACCCAGTTCTGAAGGCCATTTTAATGCGTGTTCACAGTGAGTCTTGAAGAGTTGATAGATCAAATATTTAACTTGTCAGAATTAATAAGTGTGTCAAATATATATTTGACAAATGTTACATTAGAATATTTTTTACTGATTAAAAGAGTACCTGGAAGGTTTTCCCAGGCTTTCTAATTTAAGGAATCCCCTCTTCTTTACTGTTGTTCAAAGATAAAGCATTCTGGTAATTTTTAAAAAGCCTTATTTTGATTTTAATAGTCATCAATATTTGGTTTCTGCTTAAAAATTATTCTTGAAGCAACAGAATTTTATGCTATTCATGACTGAAGGTGTGGGTAAAAAGTGATGAGACTGATTTTTGTATGATTTATGTAATCTCATTATTTTGTAGTTATGCTTCCTATCTCAGACTCTTAAAAAATAACCCAGTTTCACTTTCAAGGCCTTCCTTACAGGGATATTTTTTTTCTAGAAAATATGTTGGATAAAAGGAAAGGTTTGAGGGAGAAATAATTGGCTCTGCTCGCAATTCAATCAATCATTGGGTTGAGGAGCTATGAAATGCAGTGATAGCCTCTATGAGACATGAAACAGGAAATATGAAGCAGCCTCTGAATATGGAAAAGATGCCCTTGTGCTGTATTGGGGAAAGTATCATTCCTTTGTCATAGAGGTCTTCTTACCCAGGTGCACCAGCAGATCCGCCCCAGAACTTACTGAATTTTTCACCGTTGGGACCTAGTTACAGCATCAGCCCTTGCTCATTTTCAGTGGAGATTGACTTGGTATGAGGTCACTTTGGGTGGGTAGTACTAGAATTGATAAGATTGGTTTAAAACTGTGTGACTTGGAGGAAACGCCAGTGGTCATGCTGAGGAGTCAACTGCTTGCCTGCTCTCCAAAATGAGAGACTCCCCTTTCCTAGAATATGTGGTAAAGTTCTATCTACCAAGGTTCTGGGGCCCCATCTGCTACTTACCATGATTGATCACCAGCAGACCTGAGCCTTAAATTCTCACATTGAGGTAAACTAGGACAGACACCAGGAAAGAAAGGAGAACTTCTCACTTGTTGGTTCTATCAGAGAGGCCAAGTCCGCTGAAGAGCTGACAAGGGTATAGTAAATGTCTAAGTGGTTAAGAATGTAACTTTAAAATAATATTCTATGAATATGACATTGTTTATTGATAATTTTGTGGTTCTCTATTTCCTTAAGCCATACAAAGCTGCTAGGCCATTTACTACCTCAAATGATAGTGAAGAACATTTTAGAAGACCTGAGATAAATCTAAATCCTCATCGTCATTGTTTTATCATTTCTTGAGGTTGCATTGATGTTTGAATGAAGTGGTGGTGCCCTTCCTTTTCAACCAAAGTTAAGTAGAATAAAAGTCTATAAACCTTCCAACCCATAAAACTATCATCTTAACTCCGTCCCTTTAGCTCCTGAACTACCCTCTTATGTTTCAATACACAAAACTATTTGTGAAGCATGTGGCATTTCCTAGATAGTACCTTGCACTCACATCAAATTAAATTTGCAAAGTTTGGCTTTTGCCATTTTCTCTCAGGGTTACAAATATGACTCCGTTTTCCAGAGGAACCACAGTGCATTGTGGGTAGAAATGCTGACCCATTTCCTCTTTTTTTTTTCTTATGGTTAAATTGTCAGGTTGAAATATACTCTATTTGATTTGTTTTTGGAAAACTGAACATATTTATAACCAGTATGAAAATTAAATTCACCAGAATGTTTTTTCTTAAAACCACTCACTGAAATTGCCCTAGGGTTAAATAAAGCCCAGATATGCAGTCAGTGACTTAGCTTATAGGCTGTCTGTATGTCTATATATGTCTTTGTGTATATGGCTCTTTCTGTATCATTGAGTAAATAAGTTAAAACTAATTAGATCTTGATATCGCTATAATAATTCTCAACTGTTACACACATTTCAAATTCATCCTTAGATCACTAGGAAATGCCTAGTAATATAAATTGTTCTTTAATTTCAGATTTAACTTTATTTTTGCCTTTTGAGGAGATTTAATGTGCTTAAATTATTTTCACACTCCATGTGTTTGCTGCAAATTGAATGTTCATGCTACCTGAAATACTTTGGACTGCAAGACAGTATTGATTACTAAGTAGATTGACTATACTCATGATACATATATATATATACTGGTACATATATATGTGTGTGTGCAAGAGAAAACATATTCAATGATATTCTCTGTGTTTAAAAACTATCATGGTATATATTTTCCTATGTGGTGCTTGAGGAGTTTCATTCTACAGTTTACAAGGTGTAGGTTTGCACCCCAAATTCTCAGGGTATGCTATTTTACCCAAATACTTGAAAGAAAAAGGTGCCCTGTATTTTATCAGTACTGTTGAGGGGGAAAATGATAAATTATGTGTAGGTTTGTTTTAGAAAAATCAAATTCATAAAATATGTCAGCCTTTTACAGAATTTCTAAGGAGATATACATATAGATATGATATATATTTTCAAGAGACTGTTTCTACATTCTTAACTAACTTCTGGGTCCTCAGTAGACCTTACAGGTGCATAAAATCATTAATAAAACATGTAGCATTTGCTAAATTGTACTTTGAACTTGAATCTAATCAGAATTGTAGACTCTGGGGGAAAGTGTGTTTATCCGTGGCACATGTGATTACAAGCCCAGGGGAGGATTCTGAAAATTAGACTTGTTTATATGCCCCATGTCGCAGAAGAAAACTGAACTTCACAGCAGTGTTTGTAAGCTGTTAATATTCTTGTTCCATGTTGCAACTAGAGCATATTATTAAATGTATTCCCATTTAATTCTTTAATTCACAATGGTGCAGAATAAAACACACACAATACATATAATTTGATTTCTTTTTTAAGTTTCATAATTGCTTTTTACAAGCTAGTGTTAATGGCAGAGTTCTTTGAAATTACCTATCATACCCATATCTATTTTCTAATGGGCAGCCCTCCCCCGCCCCTTTTGAAGATGAAGGTTTCTATATTTACATTTAAAGAATATTATTGTACAGTAAAGACAGTGGTGGTTGAAAAGAATGTGAAGACTGAGGAAGTTATGTCCTAAAAAGAGAAGAGTAAATTGTGTGATGAATGAAGAAAGACATTGGATAAAGCTGAATTATATCCCTGGCTATGAAAAAAGCCAGTGGTAAATGGAAAGAATATGGACTGCTTTCAAGATAGAAATCTTGGTGGATGTGTTCCTACCTTAGGTCTGATGCAACTCAGAGAGTGCACTGAACTTGGCCAGTGGGACTGTGAATCCAGCCCAATATCTCTGAGAATTACATTCTCGGTGTATTGCAAATGGAGAAAACTACTTAGACAAGGACTCTGTGAGACTAGCCTACTGACCTTAATTGCCAGCATTGGTAGGTGATTGTGCAATCTTGCATAATGGTCTTTTATTTTGACTCTTGAAAAATGTTTTGTTGTTGTTTTTTTTCCAGTAAAAGTAACTGCAAAGAAAACATGCATTGTCTGTCTTTATTTTAACTCAAAAATAAACTTTGGACATTTTTATTTCTGTCTTCTAACTGAAATCCTTCATTTAACTAAAACACTCTGATGTTTCACATCCAGGTTGTATTCATTTTCTACTGTTGCTGTAATGACAAACTTAGCAGCTTAAGAAGAAGCAAATTTATTATCTTGCAGTTCTAGAGTTCAGAAGTCTAGGATGGACCTTTCCCTGAACCCATAGTATTTCACCCGGCCAACTCAAGGAATCTAGCTGCTGGCATCATTAAGGAGCACTGTGAGGAGCACCTAACAAGGTATGTGATGCTCCACTGGCTCCACACCTAAACGTGATGTCCCTGAGGGCCTGCACTGAGGCCCAGGAAAGGAATTGCAGTTATCCCCTTCAAAACCTGAATAGAAGAGGCACTCATTTTAGAGACCTGCTGCACAAGATCAATGTTGTAGCACATCCCTTAAGTCAACCACCGTTAACTGAAGTCACTATAATAAACCTTAAGATTGAAGCCCCCAGAAGACTTGAATCCACATTTCACAAAGAGGGACAACCAGGATTCCTTACATATGTCCAGGGTTGGGGGTGATCAGGCAAAAAAGCAAATTGAGGGCAGTCTCAGGCCTTATATTTTTCTAAGTCAACTCTGGCTTCCAGCTCTTGTTTCCAGTGAATTCTCATATTCCAGTCTCCATCTTGCCTCAAGCGTGCACAGTTTTACTCTGCATTGCATTACCCCAGAAGACTTCGCTGCAGAACACCCATTCAATCCTGAGCATTCCGTGTGTGGCAGGATTTTGCTGAAGGCTTACGGTACATGGGATAGAGATTTGCAGGTGCTCCATCGTATGGCAGCTAGCTACATTAGCAAACACTTTAAACCTGAACTGCTTATATACCTGTTCTCAAATAGTCCTGTGCCATCTCTGAGACTAGAACATTTTCACTGGTTGTTGAGTTCATTTGTGCATCAGCCACAGTCCCTCTCCCTCTCTTCATCCTCTGCTTCCTCTGTTCCTTAGCTTGCTGGCTCAGAGCCCTCTAATTTCCTATTTCTGATATAGGGCAGTTTAGCCACCTATTGAATCCCTGTGAATGCAGATTCACTACACTACGTCCAGAAGACCTCATCTTCATGAACCATGCATAGCCACTGTTCTAGTTGTGTACTGCTGAGGAACAATCCACCTCAAAACTTGAGTCTTAAAAGCCACAAACAAGTTTTTAGCTCACTAATATGCAATTTGGACATATCTGGGCATGGAAGGTTCAGTTCTGCTTCACACATGAACTCAACAGGGACCTCAGAAGCTACTTCCACGATGGCTCATTCACATGACTGGAGAGCCAATGCTAGCCATCAGCCAGGCCAGCTAGGGGCCTCAGTTCCTCTTCAGCTGGACCTCTCTCCATGAGCTGCTTGGGCTTCCTCCAAACATGGCGAGTGAGTTTCAACAATGAGTATCCCAAGAGATAGGAATTGGATGCTGCCAGTTTCTTAAGGCCTAGCTCAGAAAGTAACATGGCATCACTATCACCTATTTGATACGCAATCACAGAACCGAGATTCAATGGGCAGGAACACAGATTCTCTCTTTCAATGGGAAGAGTGTCAAATAATTTGGAGATATGTTGTAAAACTATCATCCTCTTTAAGGGGTGTTTTTAAATAGTTACTTTTAAAAGAGGAATTTTAAAGTCAATTCTTCAATTACTGTAAGTTTAGTCAAAGATTCTAGAAAAAATCTAAAGAATGAGAGTAGCGTATATAGGTTTGATGGTATGCTTTTATGTGTGATGGGCGTATGTTGGAGTTTCATAGGGTAGAAATCACTGTTATATTCCCAGTGTGGAGGATATTAATGTTCTTTAGGAGTAATAATTTAAAAAGCCTACTATATGTCAGGTGCCCTGATTCATGAAGAGGTTAGAATTTCAGGAAGCCTTTAATATGGTGAGAATGCTGATATGCTGATGAAGCTAGCTAGTCTAAGTCTTGTCAAAGGCACCGTGATTGAAAGAGGAAGCTGGCTAATGGTCACAAAGAAGAGATCCATGCCAATCACCCAGCACGGAGTGGGCAGGGAGCAAAGAGGGCTAAGGGTGAAGAGAACTCAGAAGGCCAGAGCAAAAGCAAGAGAGTGAAAATGAAGAAGCTGTTTAGTTTAGGGGCAAGAGGGCTACTGAAGGTGACAAGGGAGGAGTGTAGATAGAAGTAGCATGGCCAAAGCCCTTTGATAAGAGGTTTATCCCAACGGGAGTGTTGTGAAAAGAGTCATCAAAGACATAGCAAAAAACTGATATTTCTTTCTGCCCCTTGAAATTACAACCTGATCAATAGATAATCCCGAGTGAAGTGTTCTCGGAAAGCTTCTACACCTTCAGTACTACTTGGATAGACTAAGAACAAGTGTGTATTACATGCATATGTATTTACACACTGGATATAGTATTGCAGAATAACATTATATTCTATAGATTATTGTAATGTGAGAATCATAACAAGATAATATTACCCTTGGCCTGTAGTTAGCATTTCAGAAATATTAACTACTATGATATATCTCTCTATTATAGCATTTCTACCTCTGAAAATTTCAAATTCACTACTATATAGGTTGCGTAAAGATCCTCAAATTTATTTGCATGTTCTTTGAAGGAAATTTAGAAAATGTTAAAATATTCTAAAAACTGAAAAATAGGACAATTTCCTAATTATTCAGAGGGACCTACTACCTTAAAAATAAATGCTTATAATTGTGTTTTGTAGACTACTTATTTACTTCATAAAATTATAAAACTACCTCTTTCCAATATTCTTAGAGGAATGATTTTATCAGCTGTATCTTATTTCTTCATATTGCTATATCATAATATGTTTAATCAATCTCATATTTAAAAATATTTAGTTTTTAGAATTTTGGCCTATGAAAATAATGCTGCAACCAATGTCTTTGAGCACAAATCTTTCCAGGCATCTCTGAATATTTCCTTGTGATAGACTTCTAAGTAGAATTACTGAATAAAAGGATATAAACATTCTTAAAATTTTTGACACATGAGATTTTGAGATATCTCCCTACCTCCCATATCCCAACTCTGCTACCCCCCCCCCCAAAACATGCAAACACACTATTTAGAAACTTCATATTTTAGCACTTCACCTGTTGAAAATTACCCTGAAGATGGAGGAATAGAAGACTCATATTGGTTTGCTGGAATACATATTTTACTGCAGAAAGTATGAACTACGCACAAAGAATGTGTGTGTGTGTGTATGTTTACAAACATCACACCAATGATCTCTTTATGATTTTAAGTGTCTTCCTTTTTCTCGAGAGCAGCGGTTCTCAACTTGTGGGTCACGACCCCTTTGGCAGTCGAACGACCCTTTCACAGGGGTCGCCTAAGACCATCCTGCATATCAGATATTTACATTATGATTCATAACAGTAGCAACATTACAGCTATGAAGTAGCAACGAAAATAATTTTATGGTTGGGTCACAACAGGAGGAACTGTATTTAAAGGGCCAGAAGGTTGAGAACCACTGCTCTAGAACATGACTCTCAAAGTGTGGTCCCCATACTAACTGCTTGGGCTTCACTGGGAAACTTCACCTCTTTATCATTGCAAATCCTCAGCCTGACTCAGGCCAGTTGAAGCCAAAATGGAAAAGAGCTTCAGTGATCTGTTTTAAGAAGCGCTCCAGGCGGTTCTCACGGACACGGTTTTGAGAACCACTGCTCTGGACCCCAGGGCACTGGCAGCCATAAGTGTCTGGAGGAAACAAGAAGGCTGCTGCTCCTGAGTGAGAACTCCGGTCTTGACCCATCATGTTAGCACACCAGTCCACAATGAGAGAGTCCCTTTTTGATCCTCATTTCTTCAATGATTTTTTTTTAATGGAGACTACCAATGCTTGTTTCAGAGTGTCTGCAAACATTTTTAAAAGATCGTGCTTAAGAAATATTGCTTTCCTTCCTTTTCTGACAAAGTTAATCTAGCCTTTATTTTTTTTCCTCTGAAGGGAGTGTAAGAGCACTGGTCCCTGAAGAGAGAATAAACTGCTTTGCTATGGATGCTTCCTCCAAGGTCAATGTCACCACCAAGGACATATCACATCCCCTAAAGGTTTTGATTTCTTTCTTTCCTCTTAGTAACATAACAGTTAAGGGTGCCGGTCCAGGGTTTTATGAAAACTGGGCTTAAAGCTTGTTTTCAACTTCACAGGTCCTTACACGGTTCTGGCTGCTATTATTTTCAGTGGCCCATTTTCCCAAAGGGCTCTGACCTCCTTTTGGAATCTCTGGCCTGTTCTATAGGGTTGCAAAGGCTACTTGTGTATATGTCTGGGCTCAGAAATTGGCAAGAGCAGAGAGATATGGTGTTTAAAGTAACAGAAGACAAAAAAAACTCAATAGGATTTCCACATATTTATTTCATCACACATCATTTTAAATGTACAGCCAATAATAGGCTAGATCAATTTCTGTGTGTGTTAGTGTGTGCGCGCGCACGTGTTTGTGTGTACTTAATGAACAAATGAACATCTGTTATCTGTTTTGGGTTTATTACTATAAACACACTTTTCATTAATAAATATTTAAAAATGTTTAACATGCCTCTTCTAATTTGAACAAATAAAAATCTTTCCTTGATTTCATATTTTAGAAGTCCAAATCCATCAGTACTAAATTCTCTCAGCCAACTCTGGATTGTGTAGATTGTAGTCACACAGACTAGAACTTTCACGACCAAACAGCTGAACAAAAGATAAAATGGTGACTACGTCAAGATGTCCCTTAGAAAGGACAGTGCACCACATTACGGTTTCCAAGAGACACAGCACACAAAAAAATCAAATGGAGTTTCTGAAATTAATATCTCTAAATCTTATGTGCCAAGTCCAGTGTTTTTGTAGGGCGGAA